TTGGTTGATTAGATAATTGCATTAATGAGAAATTGAACAGGTGTTCCTAATAATTCTTTAGGTGAGTGTATAATGCTCCAACTCATAAATGCATGCATGTACATGTCAGTTATAGGAGTAGGGCTGTCTATCCACTCTCTGCCTGAGCTCATTTATTGGTAGCTGAAGCAGAACCAGATACTGATGTTTTTCACATGAATCTGAAGCCTGGCCAACTTCAGGTGGAGATGAAGCAGTGATTGGCCAGGGATGGTATGTGAAATGCATCTTCAGATGAGGTGTGCTGCTTGAAAAGGGTAACAGACCTGCTTGTGGAGCTGCCCTTGACAAGGGTAGTGAGATTCAACCCTCAAGACACAAAGGATCTATCACTAGTTCTTCAGCAAGGTGGAAAGGGCATGATTGAGGAGTCTCAAAAGGGAAAAGGACTGATATCTGATGAGAAGAAATTGCTGTTAGCCAATTTAATTGAGTGTTTGCTGAACATTGCTAAGTTTCAGGAGGTGTTAGCTATAAATAAACTCTACATAACAAAAGTATACAGCCAGTTACAGTGTCGGTGTTGGTATTTTATCATGTAGTTTGAATTGTTTTCAAAAACCTCATTGTCAAGGACTAGAGCACATACTGTAAAATTTATATTTTACCTTAAGGTAATTAAAACATAATAAATCTGATTTTTACAGTTTTCATTTTCCAGTGTTTGTATAGTTCTTGGAAAACACCCTGGATTGTATCATGAGGTGACAATACTGAATAAGTCTGTTGCTTACCTGCAAACTATTTAAAAACTGAGGAAAGTATGTATGGTATAGGAATAAATAATCTGTAAGACTTCCTTAGCTGTCTTAACGGTCTGTATAGGAAGAGCATTTCTACCATGAATCATAAACACAGCTGAAGAGCCAAATCAGAACTGTTATGTTATTTGAGTATTCCCTTCAGTATTACTACATTGTTTCCTACACTTCTCTTGCCATACTGTTGAATTACAGTGTAAAATGACAGTAGATGTGACTAACATTTAATTTAATACAGTACTAGTCAAAAGTTTCGACATGTCTACTGTAAATCATGTATTTCTCTTTTTTTTATAACATTTTCACCTGGTTATGGATTTTTTTTTTTACAAAAACATAGTCAAGTTCAAGTCAAGTTTTATGCTTAATGTCACAAAGCTGATTGCAAACCTGCAAAGAGAAATTTCAGTTAATAATTACCTTCAGAAATGATGGCCAATCAATCAAAAAAATACCAAAAACTCCACTATTTGCAGCCATGTTTGGTTCCCACTATGCAGCATGGAGAAGGCTGTGGGGTATTCTACTCATGATGTTATTGAAGAAAGCTGTGGGGTATTCTACTCGTGACGTTATTGTAGAAGGCACACTGAACTAGCATGGCAACCACAGTATTTAGCGATGACACACCCTCCCGTCTGGTAATCGCATAGTTGGACTGTCATTCGTTTTTCAATAAGACAATGCCCCTAAGCACACCTTGAGGTTATGCAAGAATTGTCTTGTAAGCAAGGAAGGAGTTGGAGTGCTGTGAAAGATGACCTACCCCCCCCAATCCCCTGACGTAAACCCTATAGAGCTGGCTTGGGATGAGTTGCATTGAA